TTATTTATGGTTCTCTATTGAACCTCACCCTATATATATATATATATATATATATATATATATATATATATATATATATATATATATATATATATATATTCGTGTTTGTTTTATTATTTTTTTCACAAATCTCAAAACCATCAATAATATGTTAATAAGATCATGGAGGCATAAATTCGTATCTTATCTCGATTCATGTGATGGGGCAGGTATAAGTTTCTCTATCTTTGTTTTAGATAGGTGTCCCTAGAAACATGCTGCTACATATTGTCCAAAGCCTCAATAGACTCTATGTAACGACTTAATGAATCGAATCTACTATTCGTTTCTTCCCAAACAGGCTGGTAAATTCACCTTAGTCATGAGCTACATCACAATTCTCACCTTGAGTTAAGAGTTATCTGCTTAGTCACTCTCGTATAGCAGATGTCCATTCGCTTCTCTGAAACCACCTTCTCACTTCTCCATTTGTCTTCGCACCCATAAATATAACCCTTGAGACTCTTAGCAATACCACTGAGGCTTATGGTTACACAACTTCTGAGTTCATGATCTTAGCTTAGTTCACCAAGAACTGAGTGAAACCCAAATTCCGATACACTTACATGAATTGATGGTGAACAATTAAATGTTCTAGATTTTCACCATGGAATTAATGAAATCCACTTTCGTGGTCTGTACCAAGGAATCTATTTTCTGTTACTAGATCTTTATGAAGTGTTCTTGTACCAAGTCACTTCTTCCCATAAGATCCAGTGTTTGTTTTATTTCTTTTTTTTTTTTGATATTTCAAAGTTTCGTCTACTCACTAAAATAGTTCCAAGCCTACTCGTTCAACTGGCTACACTGGTCACTCGGGTACTTCATCCTACATTCGTACTTATATTAAGTTCGTTGTTTGGTAGGAGATTTAGCCACCCATTTAACTAAATTAAAGGATGCCTTTCAATGTTTCTTATCAAACATCTAACCGTATTTCAACGGGAAACCACACATACACTTAAGTTTTCTAAAGGTTACTTTCAGGTTCGCGGTTTAACCTAAGTTTTCTAAAATGAATGTTCGTGATGGATGGGTCAAAGAATATTTAACTGCGAAAGGTGGATGATGTCGTGGCAATTCCTGATAATAAGAATTCTAAAAGGTGCGTGAAATTTTAACGGCCAGGTACTTTTCTGCCGTATGACGCACAAGTCTGACATCTATAGTTGTCAAATCACGCTTTTTCAGGCGAACATTTCAGTAACTGAGGCTTCTCTCTCCGTACATTCCTCACAAATTGAATGGTATATAAAGGTTTTGACGGTTCCTCTCTCATTATCACTTTCAAAATTCTCTCAAAAGATTTCTGGCAATCTATGTTTCAACTGTTCATCTTCTTTCTCGAGCTACAACAATGGCTGCCTCATCATCTGTTCATGATCAAAATACTCACTCTACTATTCTGACCATCAAACCCAACCAGGATATGATCATTACTCTTGAACCCTACAAATATGAGCCCTATCTCCTACCAATTGTCGAGTGCCTCAAATATCTCCACTGGTTCATGCTCTAACGAAGATGGAGAATATGCTGATGTCCCTACTATTTAAGGCATACTCTTCTACAAGTTATATCAAGGAGGAAAACAAAATCATCTTTAACATTCATGATCAGAAAACCTCAATCACAAAATCCAAATTTTACTTATTTCTAGGGCTTCCTCAAAATGAAGAGATGATCAACCCGAAATCCATCTCCAATGCTACTCTATGCAGATGTTCTATCAAATGGGGTACAAGGAGAGCCTATCTACAGTATCAAAATTTTGGAAACCAAATCTACCCTCACAATCCATTCGCTTCTCTGAAACCACCTTCTCACTTCTCCATTTATCTTCGCACCCATAAATGTAACCCTTGAGACTCTTAGCAATACCACTGAGGCTTATGGTTACACAACTTCTGAGTTCATGATCTTAGCTTAGTTCACCAAGAATTGAGTGAAACCCAAATTCCGATACACTTACATGAATTGACGGTGAACAATTAAATGTTCTAGATTTTCACCATGGAATTAATGAAATCCACTTTCGTGGTCTGTACCAAGGAATCTATTTTCTGTTACTAGATCTTTATGAAGTGTTCTTGTACCAAGTCACTTCTTCCCATAAGATCCAGTGTTTGTTTTATTTCCTTTTTTTTTTTTTGATATTTCAAAGTTTCGTCTACTCACTAAAATAGTTCCAAGCCTACTCGTTCAACTAGCTACACTGGTAACTCGGGTACTTCATCCTACATTCGTACTTATATTAAGTTCGTTGTTTGGTAGGAGATTTGGCCACCCATTTAACCAAACTAAAGGATGCCTTTCAATGTTTCTTATCAAACATCTAACCGTATTTCAACGGGAAACCACACATACACTTAAGTTTTCTCAAGGTTACTTTCAGGTTCGCGGTTTAACCTAGGTTTTCTAAAATGAATGTTCGTGATGGATGGGTCAAAGAATATTTAACTGCGAAAGGTGGATGATGTCGTGGCAATTCCTGATAATAAGAATTCAAAAAGGTGCGTGAAATTTTAACGGCCAGGTACTTTTCTACCGTATGACGCACAAGTCTGACATCTATAGTTGTCAAATCACGCTTTTTTAGGCGAACATTTCAGTAACTGAGGCATTCTCTCTCCATACTTTCCTCACAAATTGAATGGTATATAAAGGTTCTGACGGTTCCTCTCTCATTATCACTTTCAAAATTCTCTCAAAAGATTTCTGGCGATCTAAGTTTCAACTGTTCATCTTCTTTCTCGAGCTACAACAATGGCTGCCTCATCATCTGTTCATGATCAAAATACTCACTCTACTATTCTGACCGTCAAACCCAACCAGGATATGATCATCAATCTGGAACCCTACAAATATGAGCCCTGTCTCCTACCAATTGTCGAGTGCCTCAAATATCTCTACTGGTTCATGCTCTAACGAAGATGGAGAATATTCTGATGTCCCTACTATTTAAGGCATACTTTTCTACAAGTTATATCAAGGAGGAAAACAAAATCATCTTTAACATTCATGATCAGAAAACCTCAATCACAAAATCCAGATTTTGCTTACTTCTAGGGCTTCCTCAAAATGAAGAGATGATCAACCCGAAATCCGTCTCCAATTCTACTTTATGCAGATGTTCTATCAGATGGGGTACAAGGAGAGCCTATCTACAGTATCAAAATTTTTGAAACCAAATCTACCCTCACAATCCATTCGCTTCTCTGAAACCACCTTCTCACTTCTCCATTTGTCTTCGCACCCATAAATGTAACCCTTGAGACTCTTAGCAATACCACTGAGGCTTATGGTTACACAACTTTTGAGTGCATCATCTTAGCTTAGTTCACCAAGAACTGAGTGAAACCCAAATTCCGATACACTTACATGAATTGACGGTGAACAATTAAATGTTCTAGATTTTCACCATGGAATTAATGAAATCCACTTTCGTGGTCTGTACCAAGGAATCTATTTTCTGTTACTAGATCTTTATGAAGTGTTCTTGTACCAAGTCACTTCTTCCCATAAGATCCAGTGTTTGTTTTATTTCTTTTTTTTTTTTGAGATTTCAAAGTTTCGTCTACTCACTAAAATAGTTCCAAGCCTACTCGTTCAACTGGCTACACTGGTCACTCGGGTACTTCATCCTACATTCGTACTTATATTAAGTTCGTTGTTTGGTAGGAGATTTAGCCACCCATTTAACTAAATTAAAGGATGCCTTTCAATGTTTCTTATCAAACATCTAACCGTATTTCAACGGGAAACCACACACACACTTAAGTTTTCTCAAGGTTACTTTCAGGTTCGCGGTTTAACCTAAGTTTTCTAAAACAAATGTTCATGATGGATGGGTCAAAGAATATTTAACTGCGAAAGGTGGATGATGTCGTGGCAATTCCTGATAATAAGAATTCAAAAAGGTGCGTGAAATTTTAACGGCCAGGTACTTTTCTGCCGTATGACGCACAAGTCTGACATCTATAGTTGTCAAATCATGCTTTTTCAGGCGAACATTTCAGTAACTGAGGCATTCTCTCTCCATACTTTCCTCACAAATTGAATGGTATATAAAGGTTTTGACGGTTCCTCTCTCATTATCACTTTCAAAATTCTCTCAAAAGATTTCTGGCGATCTAAGTTTCAACTGTTCATCTTCTTTCTCAAGCTACAACAATGGCTGCCTCATCATCTGTTCATGATCAAAATACTCACTCTACTATTCTGACCGTCAAACCCAACCAGGATATGATCATCAATCTGGAACCCTACAAATATGAGCCCTATCTCCTACCAATTTTCGAGTGCTTCAAATATCTCCACTGGTTTATGCTCTAACGAAGATGGAGAATATTCTGATGTCCTTACTATTTAAGGCATACTCTGCTACAAGTTATATCAAGGAGGAAAACAAAATCATCTTTAACATTCATGATCAGAAAACCTCAATCACAAAATCCAGATTTTGCTTACTTCTAGGGCTTCCTCAAAATGAAGAGATGATCAACCCGAAATCCATCTCCAATGCTGCTCTATGGAGTTGTTCTATCAAATGGGGTACAAGGAGAGCCAATCTACAGTATCAAAATTTTGGAAACCAAATCTACCCTCACAATGGAGCGCTCTCTTTACTTTTCTTTACAAAGGGTTCTCAAAAAGGATTCCTGGTTCTGACTGTTTCGGTAAGTTGTTCTTGACTATAATATATGGCATCTATACATGGTTGAATGTTGATTTAGGAGCAGTACTTTGGGCTCAGGTGATACAGAGCACACACTCAACGAATCGTCATAGCAAAATTTCATGTGCACGATTCTGGTCTCTTATTGTTCAAAGGGTCATCCCCAAGCTCAACATTCCAGTGATCAGGTTGCTCTGGCTTTTTCTGTCTCAACCTTCCATACAACATACATCATTGTGGCTGATAACTCCAAATTTTTGTTCATCGATCCATTCCATAGGCTATGTTTCGTGATGTACCTGCCCCTAGCACGATTCTGGAAGGTTATTGCAAGCTTACTCCTTTTGGGTTTCGTCCTCTTAATCCAGAAATACAAGCAACAATTGATGCAGCTGATAAACCCAAGAAAGAAGGAAAGGGTGCTAAGAAAGGGGAAAAGAAAACTATTGTCAAGGAAGGTACATCTGACACTACGAAACCTCCTCCCAAACGAAAGGCAACTATAGGCGCCTCAACTGCTACTCCTAAAAGATGAAAGAAACCAGTTGCTCCTAAAAGACGAAAGCAACCAGCGAAGATGAGTTTGATACTCAGTCAGATATTCGCATAGAGAAGAATCCTCCAGTTCGCAACGAGGACGTTCACAATGAATTCATTCGCAACGAGGAAGTTCACAACAAGGATGTTTGTAATAATGATGATAACATTCGCAACGAAGAACAGACATCCAATCCTAAGGTAACTCAACATCTTAACAATTTTGTTCCTTCACATCCTCCCTCACCTAAAACCACTACAACCCCAATCACCATTGCACCATGCCCTCCACCATTTTCTTCACAACAACAAACCAATATTCCTCTTTCTTCTCCTTTATTCACAGATTCTACTGTCCCACCAACCACCTCCATTGAACCTCCTGTTTCGGTCAACGTATCTGATACAAGGGATCAAAATTCAGGTTTCTCAACCCATATTTCACCTCCTACTTCCTCTCTTAACCAAGATGACCCTGACATCATTTTTGGCGATGATGAAGAGGAGGAAATTGGCGGATTCACTTATAGTCCTTTCCACGAAAGTGAAACTTCAGTCCCTGCATGAAAAGATTGACCAACTGATTCTCTCCTTCAAAGCTTTATCTTATGATGCATACACTAAAGCCACAATTGAGTGTTTTATTGAACGAATCTCGAAGGAGCATTATGCTAATGCTGAAAAGATGAATAAAGCAGTTGCCGACTCTACTGAAGTTTGTAAGACAACGACCGGAAAAGTCGTTAAACTAATTTCTGACACTTTTTTCTTCATGGAGAACTTCCAAACCACCTTCAACTCCAACACTACTATAGCCAATGAAGCTTTAAAGAGTTTGGGTTCTCTCTTCAAATTTGAGAAGGTTAAGTTGCAAGAGATTCGTACTGGTTTTAAAACTAAACATGAAGCTTTTCAAACCTCCATTTCCTCTCAAATTTCCAACCTCTAAGATGACCTGGAAAAAGAGATTAACATCTCTGACTCTCTTGCACTCAAGATAGAATAAGTAAAGGTCTTAAGTGTGAAACTCGAAGCTTCCGAGAAATAGGTCAATGATTTGTTATCTGAGAGAGCTGTTAAGCGAAGTTGTATTATTGATGTTACAAGCATGCTCTCAGATATCCTTGAGACCAGGGATTTAATAATCACTATCACAGTCCAAAAGCATCTGCATGAGAAAGTTTTTGCCATGCTTCACAGGATACAAGGTGTTTCGAATCAAAGCTTTAATTAGAAACAAGGGGGAGAAGGTATATCTGGTGGGTTAAGAAAAGAAGGAAAAGAAGATCCAAAAGTTCCAGTCAAACCGGTAATCAAGCAAGAACCCAAGGGCAAAGAAAAATTGTTTAGTGAAGAACCCATTGTTGATGATAGTGGAGACAAAAAAAAAAAAACTAAATAGTCCAAAAAATTCAAATAGCAACATATTATTTATTGTTAATATATATTTTTAACTATTTGTAAATTTACTAAATTATTTTTTGAATTATTAGAAACTTTCATCTAATATAATATCTTAATATGTACTTATAAAATGCTTTTTAGTCAATGAAATATTAAATTATAGTCACTTTTTCTTAATAGTTGCTTATAAATTATAATTCATAATTAAAAGTTTTTTGTTTTTTTTTTTTTTTTTTTTTTTTTTTTTTTTTTTTACTTTTAAGGAGTTGACTAATATTTAACTTTAGTATTTTAAAAATATATAACCTCTTAAAAACCGAATTGTAAAAACCGATCCAAACGAATTTTAATTTGGGTGGATCAAATCCGATTTGAATTTCGTTTGGACTATTTGGAATTACTTGATTTGGAATTTTAATTTGGAATTTATGCTTTAAATGCTGAAATCTATTTAGAATTACTTTATCTGATCGGAGCAATCCAATCCATCCAAACGAACACCTCTAGATAGATATCATAGCAAACTAAAAATATCTCATTTATATAAAAAAAAAAAAAAACATTCTTCTTAAGAATTAATTTTGCAAAATTCATTACAAAAGACCTTTTTTTTTTAAGATATTAATTATTGAGTTTTCTGTCGTTGTTTACAAACCTTTATTAAAGTATGTTATTTTTGACGGGCTTTCATCCATTTTTAATAGTTCCTAAAACCAATGTATTAAAAAAAAAAATTGGTTTTCTTTGTTAAACCTATCAGGTGACCGTTCGGACTATGGATCAACACAAAAATTTTCTATATTTGGTGGAGGTCTGTGTTAACCTTCGAATTGTGTACATTCTAAAAGTATTCACTTTGATTTGGAAAGTAGTTTTTTTAAAAAGTTATGTTAAATCAAACTATACAAATCTAATAAATTGGTTCAAACCTTTTTTAACAGTTCTATACACCGGTTCAACTTAGTTTTTAAAGATACATTTTCCATCTACAAATTAACATAAAACTGTTCATTATTGAACCATTCTCATCTCTGATTTCTGATTTAAACGGTTCAACCGGTTTGTTCAAACTTGTATTTAAAACCTTGCCTAAAACATTGCTTACTTAAATAATAAACCTTTGAGTCGTTGAATATACTATAATGAATAGGGATTAAAAGTAACCAGTGTTTGGTGGATTAAATGGGTCGTATATCCCATAAAAAAATATTTGTGTTGAATACTGTTTTGTTTTAAGAAAATATTAAAAAATGATTATTTGTTTGGTTGAATATCCTTAGATTTTTATACAAAATGCAGCTTTCATGAATCGAATAACTTAATGAGTTTAAACCGCATATTAAGGATTTTGGACTATTATTACTATTATAACTCGTTGGGCTCGTTTGGATACCTTTTTTTTGCTTTTATTTTTAGGAATCAAAACGTCTTGGAAACTGTGAATCAATATGTAACAATATTGACCAGATTACCTTAAGATGATTTTTGTAGGCCCATTTTAGATCCCCGGCTTTTTCTTCAACCTTTTCAGTTACATCGCCATGCTATGCTGACCGATATATATATATATATATATATATATATATATATATATATATATATATATATATATATATATATATATATATATATATATATATATATATATACACACACGTAGTTTTGTTTTGATTAGTGGTTCAATTTTTTGCTATTCATGATAACAGATAATTAAAATTCCTCCTTGATAATAGGAAGGCGTCGTTCAATGCCATTATATTTTGAAGAAGTGTCACTTGCATAATTTATGATTATTAAATCATTTTGAATTCCAATATTCTAATAAAGATTTATGTAACTAATAAAAGAAAACAAAACCTGCAAATGAATAGTGGATGCCAGGGAATTTAAGAAGCTTATATTGGAGAGTTAAAAATTCAAATTCATAAAAATAAGTAATTAATAGGGAAAAGGTAAATGAATGAAGTGGAAAGTGAAAAGTGGAGGTCTTCCTATTGCTGATCGTATCATGAATGCAGAAAATAAAGGAGGAATTTTAATTAGCTGTTATCTAAAAATAGCGAAATGGGTAGTTTTTAAAAAATTTAACCACTAATTGAAATAAAAATACGTAATTTTATGTAATTTGATACCTAAGTTTGTATACCTCTCTATATATATATATATATATATATATATATATATATATATATATATATATATATATATATATATATATATATATTGATTTCAATATGGTGATGTTTTATATAGAGTAATTTCAATAGACAATTATAATTGACCAAGGAACCAATGAACTGATTTTTTTTTCAACTTTTAGAACTTATTTTTTATCAAAAAAATAAAGAAATTCATAATTTTTTTATCCCTTTTCCAATGATATAAAATTCGATTTATTTTTTTACGTTAAATTCACAATGTGAATCTTTGAAAATTCACAACATGAATCCGGATTCACACAGTGAATCCGAAAAATATTTTTCACATTCACAATGTTACTATATAAATTTAGATATTTTTAGATTTTTTTCCCAATAAAGAATAAGCTCTAGAAATTGAAAAAAAAGATTTGGTTCCTTGAAGAACCAATAATTATGGTTCTCTATTGAACTTTTCTATATATATATATATATATATATATATATATATATATATATATATATATATATATATATATATATATATAGAGAGAGAGAGAGAGAGAGAGAGGATGTATTTTAAAACTTCTTAAAACACATGGTTTAAAATTTAATTATCTGAATTAAAATTTTAATTAATTAAATTTAAACCATATATGACTTAATGTTTATCCTCTAATTAAAAATTTAATTAATTTAATTAAATCATTTAGAAATTAAATAATTATCTTAATTATACCTTTATTTAAATAATTTGAATCCTTATAATTACTAAAATAATTCGAATCTAATACTAATACTTCTAATTTTCGAAATTAAGGATAGGATTATCAAGTTTTAATTGTTCAAATTTTAAGGTATTTAATATAAAAAATAAGAAAACTAGAAACCCTAATGAAACCTTGTCTATTTTTGAAAATACGTAATGAGGCTAGGATTTCAAGAAACCCTAGCAATTATCGAAATTTAACAAAAGACAAGAGTTTATTTTCGATAAACCCTAGCTTGATCAATTCTCCTCATGCACAATTAATTTGTAAGACCAATGCTCTAATACCACTGAAAGATTTTATAGGTTATAAAATTATAGGTGAATGTAGAAAAATCAGTTAGCACTTAAGGCACATGAAACCTATAAGGATTTACATCTTTACAACTAATAGCAACAAACTATTAATATCAAGAACCCTAAGGAAATGTGACA